CCCTAAACCCTAAACCCCCAGGTCCTAAGCCCTAAACCCCTAAACCCCTAAACCCCAAAACCCCAACCCCTAAACCCTAAACCCCCAACTCCTAACCCCTAAACCCCTAAACCCACTCCACCCCTAAAGAATCCTCAGCAAGCTCCAATGCTTCTGCAACTTTAAGGGTTTAGGGTTCAGGGTTTTAGGGCTTAGGGGTTTTGGGTTAAGGGTTTAGGGGTTTAGGGTTTTTGGTTTTGGGTTTAGGGGTTTAGGGTTTAGGGGTTTAGGGTTTAAGGGTTTATAGGGTTTTGGGTTTAGGGTTTGGGGTGTAAAGATATAGGGTTTAGGGTTTAAGGGTTTTCCTTGTCTTTTGCTTGTCTGGTTCGCACGGGTCATGAGAACTGACTCACGCATCACCTGTCGCATTCCGATTCCTGGCCCCTGATCCCTGAAGACAAGGGGATCCACCCAGCCACTTGGAGGTTGTTGGGTAGTTATAAGTTGGGTCTGTTATATCCCATATCAGGGGACTTATAACCCCACTTATAACCCTAAAACCTAAACAAAGAGCTCAGATGAGGGGACTTCTATCCCCACCATGAATACATACTCATGAACCTCCAAGCAGGTCATTTGCGCGGGGGATCTGAAGTACGAGCTCGATGGGACCGGCCTCCACAAGTGTACCTGGAGCCTCGGGTTGCAGGGCTTAGGGCTTAGGGGAACCCTGAATTCGGTTTAGGGTTTAGGGCTTGATCAACGCCGCAACATTCCGCCACTCTGAGTATCCCTAGTGATTCATTTCGCGCGGCGTCATTTATTAAATTTTCTTCCCCTGCCCACCCCTCATGATCACGAACACTCCTTCAAACGCCCAAGGACACCCCTAAACCCTAAATCCTAAACCCCTAAACCCTATAAACCCTAAACCCTAAACGCAAGAAGCCAGGAACTGCCCTGCTAATGAAGACCAGCCCATGATCCCGGCGCAGTTCCAGTCCGTCGGGATGTCATTGGCCGAGCAGGACTCTGCGTTTAGGGTTCGGCTTAGGCCTCTGGGTTTAGGTTTATGGGTGTGGGTTCAGGTGGTTGGGAGGGGATGAGGATGGTATACTAGATTGTCATGTTAACGTTATGTTCCAGGATAGTATTGTTATTATGATCACTTCTATTATATGATTGCCTATGAGTATCATTATGGCTATCATTATCATTATCATTATTTTTATTATGATTGATATAACATATTACTGTGCTCAATTATGGTTTGGGGCTGGCGTGCCTGTCTAAACCCTAAACCCTACCTAAACCCTTATAAACACTAAACCCTGAACTCTTATAAATCCTAAACCCTTAACCCTTATAAACGCTAGACTCTTAACCCTTATAAACCCTAAACCCTAACCCCTCAACTCCTAAACCCTGAACCCCTAAACCCTAAACCCCTAAAACCCCTAAACCCCTAAACCCTAAACCCTAAACCCCTGACCCCTAAACCCTAACCCCTAAAACCCTGACCCCCAAACCCTAAAACCCCTAAACCCCTAAACCCTAAACCCTAAACCCTTATCAACCCGAAACCCTAAACCCCTAAACCCCTAAACCCTAAACCCCTAAACCCGAAACTCTTGTCCTTAAAAACAAAAACCCTTCACCCCAAACCCAAAAACCCTAAACCCTTAACCCTCAACAACCCTAAACCCTATAAGCCCTAAACCTTAGCAGGTACAGGAGCTGAAGCTCGAGCCCTTGCGCAATGAGACGCAGGAAGCCCTGGAGGCCGTCAAAGGGATTTAGGCTTTAGGGTTTAGGGTTTAGGGGTCAGGGTTTTTAGGGGTTTAGGGTTTAGGGTTTGGGGGGTCAGGGGTTTAGGAGTGTAGGGGTTTAGGGTTTAGGGCGAGATAGAAATGGCCCTTACAAATCCTTACAAACTCCTGGAGTTCCCTACGAAATCCACAAGCAATATCTTGCGAAAAAACCTTGAAGGTGCCACTTTAAACCCTAAGCCCCGTTTTTGGAGGGGATGTTTGGATCTCGCTGAGGCAGACTTGGACGAGAAATGTGGCAGCGCCCTGTCTGCCTAATTTGCTCTGAGGGTTGAGGGTTGAGGGTTCAGAAGCCTCCAGGCCGCTTGAAGTAGCTTGCGTCATTGCCCTAAAACCTAAACCCTAAACCCTAAACCCCTAAACCCCTAAACCCCTAAACCCTAAACCCCTAAACCCATAACCCCTACACCCTAAACCCGGCTCTGTCCCCAAGCCCAAAGCTTTTTGAGCCCCGCGGGAACCAAAGAGCACCACCCCGACATCAAACCCTAAAACCCTAAGCCCGACGGTCGATGATAGAAATCCTGCATGACCCATCATAAGGCGTTTGCCATAACTCCCATAGTTCAGGGTCATTAACTGGGTCCGTGTCGGATTGCAGTTTTTGTTGTAATGAAACCCAATAAGGATTAAAGATTATCATTTTTAATATCGCCCTAACAGGGAACCAGTTCAGGTAATGCAGGGTTTAGATCATCTAAACCCTAAACCCTAAACAGTAGCTCCCTACAAGGAACCTCGGGGCGTTAGCGAAGCCGGATTCTTTCGAAGACCTGGGTTGAACACTGCCCAAAGCAGCTACGAAACCCAAGACGGCCCTTTTTGGGGGTTTCAGGGTTTAGGGTTCCGGGTTTCTGGGTATAGAGTTCCGGATTTCGGGTTTTAGGGTTTAAAGGCTCAGGGCTTAGGGTGTAGGCTTTAGGGTCGAGGGCTTAAGAATCATGCGATTCGACCCGAACCCCAAAGCGGTTTAGGGTTTAGGGTTTAGGGCCCCAAACTCCATAAGCCCCAAACCCTAAACCCTAGACCCTAAACCCTAAACCCTAAACCCTAAACCCTAGACCCTAAGCCCTAAGCCCCAAACTCAACAAGACCAGAGCCCAAGCAACAGCACACCGCCGACTGAGCTGGCCTCTGGGACAAGCTGGACCTCGAGAGGCCCCCCAAGGGGCAGCGTTTAGGGTCTATAGGGTTTATAGGGTTTAGGGTTTAGGGTTTAGGGTTTATAGGGTTTATAGGGTTTATAGGGTTTATAGGGTTTATACGGCTTATAGGGTTTAGGGTTTAGGGGTTTAGGGTTTAGGGTTTAGGGGCTTGGGGGTTTAGGGGTTTAGGGTTTAGGGTTTAGGGTTTAGGGTTTACTGTTTAGCGTCTTGTTGACATAGAAGCCCTGAACAGTTAAATACCCCCTTTTGGTGATAGTAAACCCAAGGTCCCTGAGAGGATCCCTTAAAGGATCCCTGCATTTCAGGGTTTTGGGTTTAGGGTTAGGGTTATACTTGGTAATTATCGCTACTATTTTCTGGAGTTCCTGTTCTAATCGGAGTATAACATACCCCGACGCCCGAGGCCCCTGAACCTTAACCCGATATCCCAAGATCCTATCCTAATTATTAAGGCCCCTATGTTAAGGATTTTGTTTGGGCGGAGGGTCTTCCTTCCCTTTTTTTGTAGGTTCGGGGTTTAGGATTTTGGGTTTT